TAGACGATATACGAGATATACATCTCTGTGTTACCCATTGCCCCATCAGTATGGAAAATTCATCCACAAATATGTCTGCAATATGAATAAATGTACGCATATTCACTGTGTGTAAAGGTAACTGAAAGATCAGTAAATCATACTTCCCTGATATTCACCCAGGTATTCGTTATGTATGTGAACCCCTATCCTTCCAATAAGGCAGCTTGTTTAAATTCATTCTGTCCATGCGTCGTTGTGAACGTAATGAGATCAAGCTGTTTAACGGGAGGGCGTGAGGTACGATAACGGATCAACATATGTCCCTGCATAGGTTATGGTATCATAGTATTAACACTGAAAAATTGGACAAGGGTTTACCAATATTTTATAACGGTATGTGTTATTGAAAACTGGGAATATTACAGACTAACTGACTACGTTCCTCAATCTTAAACCTGCCAAGGTCACATTGATAACGAGCATCCGACATAATACGGGACCAGTCCCTCTAAAGCTAACAGAACCAAGGTGCATTACGTTTATCTGTCTTTACGACTGTTTGTATTCGACGTTGGTCAAATCACGTGCGTTCCACATATAATATACCTTCGTGGCATACTCGCGACTGGCCATCGATGCGACTGACAGTACACGGATTGTGACTATTATAAAATGTATAGAGTGTGTCGGATATTTTAACTATTGTATTACGTTGTGAATACTATGCTGTTTGGGACCGTTAAAGAATGTAGATTGTATGAAACCCCACTGGGTTGGTGTGTAGAGTATTGAACAATCACATTACGTTGTATACTTTTGAATGTGTATCATGATTAATGTAGTATGTGTTACGAATCTACATGTGATGTTTATGTACTTTGATAGATGATTACAGTGTTAACATGTTCTAATAATTAATTATAAACCATACCATTATTGATTGATTATGTGAAAGGATCCTATGACTGCTGTGTAATAAACTTCTTGTTTATTTTACTCAGGTGTTGTGTTGTGTGTGGGTTGGTATAGTCAGACCTCTTGCCAAGCGAGCTAATTCCCCAACACTCGCGTTTTAACAAGAGCACAAACTTTTCTTCTATAACAAATGGTTCCTCATATGAAGTCTCCCACCGCACCGAGGAAAAATTATTCGTCAGGATATTTACTGTTATCTTTTTACTGAATTTGTTTTAATCTGGTCTAATTTGTGAATTATGTGGAGTGAATTGATTCTACTGATGGTAGATTAATAGTATAAAATAATAATGAGGGTAGTTATACTGCGCAATACTTCACACCACAAGGTTTATCTTAATGTTCGTACAAGACACGAAGCAATATTGCACGGCATACCAAACCTAAACGGTTGTATATTTAAAGGTTTGCTAACATAAGCTGCTGATTCAATAGTACATGCTGATGCTGTTTATCACTGGGTTGTCTGGTCCTGACTCGATTATTTACAGACCGCCCCCATATGGCTGGAATATTGCTGAGTGCGGCGTAAAAATAAACCCACTCACTCACTCTTACGTGAAGCCCGTGTTGCTGAAGTCCAATTCTGTATCTGCACGGGTCACAGTACCCTTGATAAGGGATGATTTATGTAATGCACTGCATATTGTGAACATAAATTACTACGGCAAGTAAATATCGTCATCATCAACAATCCATGTGACCTGTTGAGAATAATGATAACTGCAGATTGAGACATCTAAAACCCAGAACAGTTGACACCCATCTTAAAACAATGAACCAAAAATCTTTTGTTTAGTTCTTCAATCTCCTTAGGTTGCAGAATATATTTCAATGAAAGACAGTTTCCTGTATGGGCGAACATAAGTGGGAAAATGCAATTATGATAGTCATCAACCCAGTCGATGTGAAGGAGGTATATCGACTGAGATAAGAGAGTCACGTGGCTATGAACAAAGTATGTCGAGATAACAGAGTCATTTTATCACATGCATTTCCAAGAAATACAGACACGTGATCATCAAGTATCAGAGGACCAGCCAAGGTGGAACATCCAGAAAGCAAGCTAGAAAGGTAATTACATTGTCTCCATAGCATGTTGTCATTGTCTGTTAAGCCAAGTTGAGATTTATGGGCGATGACAGGCCTCCGGTACCTCATGCTCACCTTTAAGGTTACATAGTGTTTAGGATCTGTGGCGAGGCTGGTTTCCAGGCATCTCGTGTCAGCGATAAAACTGCGTATGGTTTGCATCATGCTGATGTGATAGTTACAAGGTGACACGACCGGAATATGAATGTAAAGTGGCTTCGGTTCGGTATGGCGGCAGGGTCGCCTTGCCAAGTGACTTAAGGTTACATGGTGCTTAGGATCCGTGGCGTGGCTGGTTTCCAGGCATCTTGTGTCAGTGATAAAACTGCGAATGGTTTGCATCATGCTGATGTGATAGTTACAAGGTGACAAGACCAGAATATAAGTGTAAGGTGGCTTAGGTTTGGGATGGCGGTTGGGTGAGTGTGTGGTAGACTTCTGAGTGAGTGAGTTCAGTTTTACGCCGCATAAGGGCATTTTTAGCAATATTCCAGCTATATCAGGGCGGGGGACACCAGAAATGGGCTTCACATATTGTACCCATGTGGGGAATCGAACCCGGGTCTTCGGCGTGACGAACGAACGCTTTAACCACTACGCTACCCCACCGCCCCGAGACTTTCTGAAACATAACTTTAACACTGCGACCCACAATTGCCCTCACACATCCCTTGTGACATTCCCAAAGTTCATGACGTTAAACGCAAGTTTATGTGAGTTGATTATTGTCCGGTCCTTATTGTCAAGGTGTAAATCCACACACTATCTTACAGAATTGCACTTTATCTAAACCTTTATCTTTGATTAACCTTTAAGTTGATTCATTATTGGAGAGTTATTTCGAAGATGGGTCTACTGAAGAACATAGGCATGCGATATATATGCCTTCATATCCCCTCGAGATAATTGTGTTTGTTCCATGACGTAGGGATGTAATATAATATATACTCCATAAGATCACTTCGTGGTGATTTGTACTGGTCATATAACATTGACATCTTAAATGTTAAAACGTCGGCTCGTCACGCTGACGACCCGGGTTCGAATCCCCACATGGGCACAATGTGTGAAGCCCATTTATGGTGTCCCCCGCCGTGATATTGCTGGAATATTGCTAAAATCGGCGTAACACCCAACTCACTCACTCACTCTTAAATGTGTCTTGCATATGTATATATTCCCTTTATATCAAGTCGCAAAGAAAATGTCTTCCCTGTAAAAATATTTGACACGCACTACGCAAAAAACGCTGTATGTTTATCTCTTCGCTTTGCGACATACATACAAATGTACGCAATGTATGTAAAGAATACAAAGCTTATATACAGCTGGTAACTCTATTTTGTCTCACTCCACTCACCCTCTCACAGTCCTATAAAAATCTAAAAAAAAAGAATCGTCAGCCTGAGATAGTAGCACCACAAATGAAACTCCGTGTGGGTGGACGTACAACATGGCTGATGAATGGAATTAGACAGAGGGCAACACCATGTAGATTCAGGTTGGGCTGAAAAGTTGGGGAGTCTTTTTTCAACGGTTCATTTGTTTTCTTGGGGTTTGTTTAAATCATACTTATATTTCTTATTCTTCAGATCCAGCTGCAGACGAGAACATGGCTGCCGCACAAGGTAATGAATGGAATGAATTTCGTGGTCTTCTGGTTCTCGCCCTTCATCCTTCATCCTTCATCCTTCATCCCTCATCCTTCATCCTTCATCCTTCATCCCTCATCCTTCATCCTTCATCCCTCATCCTTCATCCTTAATCCTTCATCCTTCATCCTTCATCCCCAACCCAAATGTTGTTCAGACACCATATTACACCGAATAGACTGGCACTCCTTAAGTGGCCTGTAAGTCCCGTATGTTCCCCTGGTTCAGATCCCAGATAGGGTCAGGTCTTGTGAGAACCCCTTTCAGTGCTCTGTAGCTTCTACAAGTTGAAGACGTCGAACAGCTAAATTATTTTCAGCTCTTTGAATGGCCCTATAAACAGAAATGTCATTTTGTCTTGCTTTGAACGGAATACAGATGCTCTCGTCTTCCATAATACACTCGAAGATAGTTGTGTCAAGCTTACGATATTTCTCAAAGTAATACTTTGGCGTTATTTATTACCCACCTGGTCAACGTATGGGTAAAATGCATACTAATCTCGTACGTCACACGAGTGTCGTATCGCGTTGACCTGTGTCGTAACGACTTTGACCTTGAGATTCTAACGATTGATTAGATAACCGATGACCTCTCAATTAGGTCACGTTGTGACGGAACTACTTGTTTATTCTTAACAAACACACGAATCCATTCATTCTACAACTTAAATGCATTGTGGGAATGTAAACATTGCGAATGTTGCCGTATCGTTGTTTAATTGTCAGTCGAACTGAGACATTATATGCGTCGAAAAAATATAGACGCAAAGTTTCCACCAGTGATGTTAGCCGAGTGAAGCAACTGCAAACTTAGAAACGGGGTGCTATGGAGTAGTTGAATGTAGGAAGCTGTACGAGGCGATGACAACTGACATGCATCGTGACGTTGGTTACCAAGGGGGCAGACGAGCAAGGTGTAGTGACGTCATTACAGTGTGACGTCATGCAAAAAGTGTCCTACAAAACAACATTCTTCCGAAACCTCTTTATGAAACCGGTTTCGGTTTGAAACCATAAAAATAACAAAAATACGCTATTTTCTCAATTTAAAGCATGTAAGACGTGGATAATAAGTAAAATACCACCTCGGTATCATAATATACGAATTATACGAAAACTCGTGACCTTCCTCTCGCTCGGTCACATACAATAGGAAGGACACTCGCTTCGTATAATTCGTATATATGAGATCTCGTGTAGTATGTCTTGGACCTAGGATAACTCAAACGTATTTACGTTGGTCCCTTTAACTGACGACATAACGGTGTTTGACTGTAAATACAGTCAGAATAATATAATGTGGAAGGAGGGCTTTCACTGGTGTCCTTCAGGTAATGATTCGCAAAGGTCCGCTAATTCAGAAGGAACAGCTTGTGTACTAAAAACGAGAAGATTATTTTTGTACCCAAAACACGTTCACCGCAGCACAGTTTCACCCCAAGTGGTTTCACCCGGTTTGTTTCACCTCATACAGTTTCACTTGGGGTGACACGACCGGGAACAATATCTTCGGCTATTTCACGGGGTTGCTGCAACATTTCAGTCACAAAACGCAAGGGTTCCTCTCTCAAATTCAAGCTATGTGCAAAATATACACCAATTACACAATCAACAAGCCTAGAATACCTTTAATACTTGAGATTCTTCCTCAGAGGATTTGGCAGACAACTTTTCCTAAGCAAACATCTAATATTTCCCCTTGTGTTATGTTTCAGATTCCAGAAGTCAACTCTTTTTGTCTAAGGAAACTCGACTGATTCTCGTTGGCAAAACAGGATCAGGTAAAAGTTCCACCGGGAATACTATCATCGGACAACCAACTTTCGAAGTAGGGTGTTCAGCCTCTTCGGTAACAAAATCATGCCAACACGCCATGTTTGAGAGATTCGGGAGGGATATTTTACCGTTTGATACTCCTGGTTTCTTTGATACTGGAGCAAGTCAGAGAAGTATTGAAAAGAACTAAAGAAGAGTGTCATCCTCACCTCTCCTGGAGTGCACGCCATTCTGTTTGTGATTGGTGTGGGAAGGTTCACTGAAGAAGAAGTAACCTCTGTGGAAAGATTTCTGACGTTTTTTGGCTCTGAATCAAAGCGTCATGTGATCGTCATATTCACCAGGAAAGATGAGCTTGAGAAGTCTGGGAAGAGTCTGAAAAACTTCATCGACTCCAACAAGAAGCTGAAGACTTTCATCAATGAATCTGGTGGGAATTACGTTGCAGTTAACAACGACTCGACTGAGGACAATGAAGAGTTTGTGCAGGAGTTACTTGAGCTGGTAGACACACTTGTAAGGCAGAATGGAGGTCACTTCACAAATAAGATGTATCAGGAAGCTGAGAGTCAAATGAAGAAGATTGAGGGGATAGAGCTGGAGAAAATGATGGCCAAAAAACAAACATCTGATCAGAAGATTATTGATGATGGTGTTCGGGAATACAGTCAGACACTTTATGGCTACTCCGAGTCTCAAAGGAAGCGTCTGCAGTCAAGGAAACGCAAGGCACTCCAGGATGAATGTCGCAAGATCCATGAAAGGGAAGCCAGAAGAAATGCCAGGGATAATTTTGACATTTCTGATATCACATGGAAAATATTGGCAGGGGCAGTTGCCGCTGCTTGTGTGATAGGTTTGAGTTATGCCACAGGCACTGGAGGGATAGTGGCTGGGATAGCTGCAGCAATATTTCGTTTAAAGTAACACAGAAGAAATATTCGGTAGCTGAAGGTGTTTCTACGCCGCAATATTCCAGCTATATGACAGTCACCCACTTCAGCACTAGTTGAACACTGCGACAAACTTATATGTCTTCTTGATGGGAACAATGCTTTTAACAGATCATTCATCTTAATGAGAACAACGTTTGAAACGCACCTATCATCTCAATAGGAAATGTATCTTTCATTTGGTGGGCACCATACCTCAAACGTACTTATTATCTTTATGGGAAACAAGATTGAAGCGTATCTATTATCTATTGCTTTAAAAATATCTATCATCTCGATGGGAACAATGCTTCAAAAGTATCTATCATCTTAACAGGAACAATGCTTCAAACATAGCATATCTATCATCTCGATGGAACAATGCTTCAAAAAGTATCTACCATCTTGATGGGAACAATGGTTCAAACATATCAATCATCTTGATGGACAGAATGCTCCAAACGTGCCTATCATCTTTGTATTTGACTGTATTTGAAACGTATCGACCATATTGATGGGAACAACACTTCAAACGTATCTATGATCTTGATGGGAATAACACCTCAAATATATATATATATTGCACAGATAAATAAAAACAGAATGCCTTTTTCTCCAACATGTTTCGTTCTTTACTCTTCAGGGAGACTGTAGCGGTTACAGTATGACGTCATTACATATATATTGTGACGTCATAATTGGGACAACATTCTAGAGCGACAAGGTCACAGCTTGCAATGGTTTAACATTGGTTTGTACTTGTCTATGAAGTAGTGTTCTTTTAAAATTCGTTTTACTTTGTCCGAATTTTGAACTTGATAAAAAAGGAAATATGGTAAATTTAACATCGTTTCCTTTCGCACAGACATCTAGATGTTCACTCAGTGGGATATCGGGTTTCAGGACACTTTATTTGTTGTTTGTGGACACGAAACACGGAGAATTCTATGTAAAACAGAATTTTGACTGCTCTTGCAAAAACATGATATATGTCATAACATGCACAGGCTGTAATGAACAGTATATTGGTCAATCAGAAAATTTAAGAGCCCGGGTTCGTGTCCACAAACAACAAATAAAGTGTCCTGAAACCCTAACACATTTCCTAAATTGTTCATGCAAAGGAAATATGCATTTGCTCTCTTGACCATAATATGTTTCAGTTACATTATTTATATCAAGAGTTTCTAACTTTCAAATATAGCTTTTTGTACTCCTGCTTTCAACCCTGTCCCTTTGGGTGTTTATGTGCAGTGTATCTCCTCCACTGGTCTATCAGAGTGAAAATATCAGTGTATAGTGATGAAATGTATATTTTGCACCATTTTCATGCTAATAATAATAATTATCACCATATGAGTACAAAGATTGTAGCCTACCACCTTATTACCTACAAGAAAAGGCTGTCTGGATCAAACCTTGTTTGTTTTTAGTAACCTGATACATTTTGTGGCTGGTTATGACAAGAATTTCTAATTACCAGATAACACTAACTGATGCTGAGAGATCCTAAAAGATAAAAACTTTTCTTGCATTTGGCCCAGGACTATAACCATGTCTGTCCACATGCCACTGCCACTCAGCCAGCATAATTATGACCAATACATCCTCCTACTCACAGGTGACTCAACTGACAACCATAAATGTTGGTTACGTTGTATTTTTCTGCACTTGGTCCAAACTTGATATAGTTTCAAATGCTTGAGATTTTCCACTTCACTGATGCACTTGAATCTGTTAATTCAATATTGTGCATGAACACAGTCAGAATTCCCTTTTTGAGCTTTCATAATTCCATGGCAGCTATATCTTTGTATGTTTAATGCAGGAACATTTCCTCATTTCAAAGTCTAAATCCTGTACATTGTGTAACATAGGAAAGAGGGTAAACACCAGTGGACAGTATAAGATTAACTGAAAAAATCAAGGATGAATCTCACTAAACACATTGAGACATGTTATAACTTATTGGTAGGTCAATAGACCAACTGTTTCTATGCAGGGATATGTTATTAGTCTTTTATGGTTTTTAAGTTCCCTTAGCAGTCAAATTGCATAAAAGGGTAATTTTGTTCAAAAGCGGGTTTTTCTTAAACAAACTATTTCTTTTTTTTTTAAAATGGAGGTGAAGTTTAACATTTCTTTCAATACAAACAGTAAGATTTAAAGCCTCTTCCTGTTGTAAGTTACCTTTACAAAGCCATAACAACAGTTTCAGAAATGCCTCTCTGATGCATCTATTCAGGTAGTGTGCTGTTCATCATTGGTCCATCATCGGCTAATAGTTTGCACTGTCGACTAATATCAACATCTCTGAACAGCACTGGGCAGACAGTATTGATATAAATCATAGAATCGATTATCGTTATTATGAATAGTAACTTTGAACAAAAATTAAAAAGTTCAAAGTTGACATAGACTGTAAAAAGTCAGAAAAGGTCTAGCCTGTCTCATAGTTCCTGAACTGCATGATTTTTACTTCCGTCTATGCTTTTCTGCAATGATAAAGACCTAATTTAAGCAAGTCTAGATTTACTTAGGTTCAGGAATCTCCCATCTCACTGGAGCTCCTTTTCAGTTTAAAAGGAATTATTTGATTCTATCAAAATTATGTATATTCAGAGACTCAGAAGTGCTAGTCTCAAATGGTCCTGTTAGACGTGGAAATCCTATCCAATCCAGTTTATGCCTGGTAAGTTAATTTTATTTTACAACAGTTTCTGAATATGAAACATTGTAAATTCATAATTTATGTATGGTGTTAGGGTGATGACTAAATCGTGTAGAATTTTAAATACTTTATCAGTTCAGAAGAAAAAATATTATTTCTTAAGCTCAGTTTTGAATTTAAGTTCATAATCATTTTAAGAATAATATTGTTAACCTTTTAATGTTACATAATGCAGACAATTATCAACGGGATCAAGAGACGTTGAGCTTGGCAGAGGAGAAATGTGATCTTCAAATTGCAGAATCAGTGGGGGGAGTCTCTGAGGCATTCCAAAGTGAGGAAGGGGTAGGTTATGTGATCCAGAGATCAATACCTTCATGTTAGTAGGTTTAATTGTGAATACCATTTTTTACAACTTTGTTAAATTTATTTCTACCTTAACTAAGGATGTCCCGTTACATAATTTTCATGAATCGATATGTATCATGATACCTATTTTCGCTGCATTATTGCGTAAATTTAGTTACATTTTGAACATTAAATATTTTATATTTTATAATAGTCCTTGAAAAGATCAACATTTTCTATTCTCAGAGATTAAAAAGTTCTAATTTCGCATCTTTGTGCATGAAAAATAATCATTTATAACTCTCATAACATTAAAAAACATGATACAATTGCAAAATGTAAACGATACATATTAAAACGTATTTAAATCGATACTTTCAAAACTAAATATCGATACAGTTTTGAATTTATCAATGATTGTGCTGTCTTAGAAAAAGTATCGATGTATAATGGCATTCCTAACCTTAACAATGTTCTGGCTTACCTTTAGAATTCAGCACCACAAACTTGCAATACCCGATGAAGTAATGCCTCATGAATCTTTGCAAATTGTTTAAGCCTTCTCAATATTAGTACAGTTATCTTGAATGGTAGTGTACCGAGTGCAGCAATACATGTTTTAGGTATTATTTCAATACATGATCTTTTACTATTTATAAATGTAACAAGAAATTCGAAATGGCCAATAAGAGATTAATTGATAGACAAAGAATAGCCTTATATACAGTTAGTCTGTCTTTGATGACATATATGAAAAAATTTAAAGAAAAACTGTATATACTCTCATAACAAGCAGTTCCAGACAAGTATTGTGGTTCTGATCATGGAAAACTTTACAGAACATGTAGAAATTTTGAAAACTGGCAGAATTTGCTCTTTTCACATATCAATAGGGTAATTTTCAACATTTTTTGCACTTGATTGATGTCCAAACATTTGCAATTCAAAAATTAATGCCTGCAATAATCATGTCTTTTATAGAGATATCATTTTCACTTTTAGGTTACTATCTACTCATATCTTACCACAGTTTCATAGAGAGCTGATGCGTGTCGTGTTTCGTAGTGCACACAATTCAGACCATACCCATGAAGAGAACATATTGGCATTTCTCAATGCAGAGTATACAAATTAACATATTGCCTACATTTTGTTGTTTTCTGTAGTCAATAATTCAATCTTCCATCGGATAATCAGGTGTATGAAAGTTCTGACACCATTCTGTTCATATCACAGGGGTGGGTTGGGGTGGGTGGGTTCTCAATTAAATTTGTTTTACATATTTGTATCAGGTGTTTAAATGGGTTGTAATCAAATGATTCATGTAATTGTTAATACATTTGCATTAATGTTTTGGTGTCCTTCATACACAGGAAATTCAGCAAATGAGAACTGAAGACACCTGTCTTCCATGTCAGCAGATACATTTTCTTTGTTTATCTTTTCAGGATTCAGATGTAGTATCTGTGAGAAGGTACTAAAATGTAAAGGTGGATACACTGTTCATCAGCAGATGACTTGAAGTCAAAACCGGAACCGGAATACTCCCGACTGGCTCACAATGGGCTGTGTTTAAATGGTATTCAGACCAGACATTTGGCAAATATCCGTGTAGGAGCCCCAGTTTATTCAGGAGTTGTCTGGTATGCCTCAGTGTATGATAAGAGAACGAGAATAGTCCCGACTGGCTCAAAATGGGCTGTGGATAGGTGGTATTTAGACCAGACATTTGGCAAATATCCGTGTCGGAGCCCCAGTTTGTTCAGGACTTGTCATGTATGCCTCAGTGTATGATAAGGGAATGAGAATAGTCCCGACTGGCTCAAAATGGGCTCTGCTTAGATGGTGTTCAGACCAGATATCAGGCAAATATCCGTGTCGGAGCCCCAGTTTATTCAGGAGTTGTCTGGTATGCCTCATTGTATGATAAGAGAACGAGAATAGACCCGACTGGCTCAAAATGGGCTGTGTTTAAA